AAGCAAAGCAACGATAAACTTAACGGAAAAGAAGACGGTATATTAACGGAAATGTTGGAGAGTTTGTTTGGAAGAAACGACGCCGTTTCGAAACCCGTTGTGGTTGAGATCTCGTCGTTCCAGTCTCTATGTGCGTTGCTTTGGCGTGCGATCACTCGTGCGAGGAAGCTTCCGAGTTCAAAAACGACTACGTTTCGTATGGCTGTAAATTGTCGCCACCGGTTAAGTCCTAAGTTGAATCCGGAGTATTTCGGAAACGCGATTCAGAGCGTTCCGACGTTTGCGACTGCGGGGGAGGTTTTGTCTCGTGATCTTAAATGGTGCGCCGATCAGCTTAACCAGAGTGTTGCGGCTCATCAAGACGGGAGGATTCGTAGCGTTGTGGCGGATTGGGAAGCGAATCCTCGGTGTTTTCCTCTTGGAAATTCTGACGGAGCTTCGGTTACTATGGGAAGCTCGCCGAGGTTTCCGATGTATGATAATGATTTTGGGTGGGGAAGACCGGTGGCGGTTAGAAGCGGACGGTCGAATAAGTTTGACGGGAAGATTTCGGCGTTTCCGGGTAGGGAAGGAAACGGAACCGTAGATTTGGAAGTGGTTTTATCGCCGGAGACTATGGCTGGGATTGAATCTGACAGTGAGTTTATGCGATACGTGACTAAAAAGTAACGGAGTTTATGGATTAATAACGTTAACTATCGCCGGAGACTATGGCTGGGATTTGTCTCTGTTTTTTCTTTTTCTTAAGAACTTAACGATGTAATATTATTGTAATGTGACTTTGTAAGTTGACCCCTAAAAAAAATGTTATACATTTTGCTACTATGAGACTCTTGCGTTAAAAAGTTTTCAATTTGCTTTGTCAAAAATAACATAGAAACACAAAATGCTGCATTTCAACAAGTCTTGTTTCATCAAACATAACATTAAAATTACGAATAGAATCCAAAAGCAACATTAGTTTGGTCATCAAATTGTCTTAAGTTGCTTAACCAGTCTCGAGGCCAAGATAAACTTCAAGATAACCAACAGTTACGATATTTCCACTGGTCTCCAAGTTCTCAAGTTTGACCTTACGGTACACATTAGCATTTGTCTTCATGGGCAATGCTGTATTTGCCCTCCCACAAAAAAATGCGTCAGTGTCAGCTGAATTTACACTGAAAAACTCCAAATTGAGAAACGATGCAGCCTTGTTTTGAGGAAGATGCAAAACCTCACGGAACTCAGGATCTGCGTTTGTTGTTACAATCTTTGTTTGCCGTCGATCATCTTCGTTTGTCCAAGCTACCACTTTGTAGTTGTATTTCTTATCACCACCGTCGCCAATTCCTGATGCTCCAACTACCATTACAAATAAGTCCATCTTGTTGTCTTGATTTTTCTCTACACAAGACATATATAAGGGTGTTTAGAATTTCAAATATCTATTTTGAGTATTAATTAACCAACACTTTTCATAACATCTATTTATAGTAAGATATTTAAGAATTTGAAAATAATTTATTGAAAATCATGATTATATTTATTATTGTTAATTTCATATCTGTTTCAAATTAATGATATGAGAGCATGCACTTATAAACTTTTTTAAAATGAAATGATGTGTAAGCATGCTATTAGATTAAAAACTATAGAATGCTACACGCCCAACATCTATATTAAACCCTGTTCTAAAAATCCCCGCCTAGACCCGATTACTCCCCGCTTAATCGCTAGGCCCACCCTATCCGTCTCGATTAATGACTAATCCCTTAAAGAAATCAGTCACCCGATTACTCTCCGCCTAATCCGATTACTTTCCGCCTAATCCGATTATTCCCCGCCTAATCTTACATACTCCGATTATTTTTAGATTGCTAGTGTAAAAAAACTTTTTATTTTTGTTATTCAATCATTTGAATTGAGAGTTTGTAATGTTTTACAATAATTTATGTTCAAATTTTAATAAAAATCAAAAATTTGTAATAAAAATCATAAAAATTTGTCTCAAAAATACATTTTTATGTGTTTACTGCAATTTTGAAAATAATATTGGATTAATATGTTTTAAAAATATTAAAATAACCCTAAAACTAATCCCCGATTAATCCCCGATTTTAATCCGATTTCTGATTAATCGCTAGGCCCATGCCGAGCGCCCGACTAGCGCCTAGCGATTTTTCAAACAAGGATATTAAATATACTCATTTCAATTGTGAGATTAAATTTGTTATGTATTTTGATACTATTCCATCCATTCAAATGTAGTTACTTCTGAAGCTGTTTTTACTTTTATCAATTGGTATCTCAACTGTCAAGAAATGTTTATCTCTGTTGGATTCTGGCCTAAGAGTAAGAGATGGGCTTTGGGCCTGTACAGAGAGCTTTAGGCCTAACTTGAAAAGTAAGAAAGAAGCTCAATTAAAGTTAGTAAGCCCATGCGATGGTGAGAGATTGAGAGCTTTCAAATCCCAACACTCTACTACAAAATTATTTTAAGAAGATAATTCGAAGCAAATGAATATATTTTAAAAAAGTTAACCAACCACGGAAACAAAATATTTATGGAATGATATCATCTTTATATGCTAATAAGCTAAATCAAATAGACCAAACACGCAGTTCAAGAAAAAGAGGCTTATCCAGCCAAATTACGTCGAAGGTTAGGCTTTCCGTAATATCACACAAGTAATAAGGGTATATCAGTCAATGCTCATACACTCCTCAACGTCAACTTGCGTGTCTTTCCTTTCTTTCTTCGAATGAACATCTGAAGCCCGAAAGCAAAAAGATCATTATTTGGGGAATGGAGAAGAAGCTCCTCTCCTACAGACGCCATTAACAACATCCTCTTAAGCTTCTGCGATTCTCTCCGTTCGTCGGAAGCTTTCACGACGATTTTTCAATCCTTATCCGAACCGGAGGTAATTCTGGATCTCTTCCTCCTTGGGCATTAGAATTAGCGAATTTATACACATAATTTTTGTTTTGGGAAGGTAGAAATCATGTCGGACGCTTTGATCAATGGATTGGCTGGAGCTGGCGGTGGGATCATTGCTCAGCTTCTCACTTATCCTCTTCAAACTGTACGATTCTTTCCCCCACCTAATTCATCTGGATAATCTTCAATCGTCTTGTTTTGAAGCGATTGTGTCTGTTTTGTATTCGTTGAATTAGGTAAATACGCGCCAACAGACGGAGCGGGATCTGAAAAGGGAGAAGAGGAAACTTGGAACTATCGAACACATGTGTCAGGTTCTTTGTTTTTTACACTCTCAATCTCAGGATCATAGATTGAATTATGAGTTTTGCTACTTTAGAGCAAACGTATAGTGGAATCTTTTTTTGTGTTACATTTTTGTGGCATGTTCTTGAATTGCTTTGATTTGTATTGAAGGTTGTCAAACAAGAGGGATGGGAGAGATTATACGGTGGATTGGCACCGTCTCTCGCTGGAACGGCAGCATCACAGGTATATTCTCTCAATTGTGTATAAGTATCTTTGATAATCTGTATTTTTATCTCCATTTTGTGTATATGATTGAAAGTGGATGGTTTTTTGGTATGACCATCTTTATTCTCTAAGTATTTTTTATTTGTGTATGAGACAGGGTGTGTACTACTACTTCTACCAGGTGTTTCGGAATCAAGCTGAAGCCACAGCTCTTGCACGGAAGAAGAAAGGGTTGGGTGACGGATCAGTTGGGATGTTTGCTTCACTTTTAGTGGCTGCCTTTGCTGGGTACAATAGAAATTCTATTTGTGATTTTTTTCTGTTTGCTAGTTGTTGATCTGTTACAATGCGGCCTAGGGATTACCATTAGTTAGGAATGGCATAAAGAATTTTAAAATAGCTCTTAGGTGCTTCAGTTCTTTCTCATAAACTTCACATTGGCTGTCTGGAGTGTAGGCTGTGAGTGAAGGCTC